CGAACGGCGCGCGCCCGAGTTTGCACCAGGCATCAAAAGTCAGCTGGGAGCGTCGCTGCGTGGGCCAGATGTTGGAAGACGCCCTGGCCGCGGTAGACGAGATCGCACGGGGCAAGGGCAATGCGGCAACGCAGGCCGCCTCCTGGTCAATGGCAAGGATGCGCCCCTCTCTAGTGACTAGTGCAAGGACCAGTCGAACAGGAGGGCGCCAAACAGCACTGACGGTGAGTCGGGGTATCAGATCGAGATCGTCGCCTGCGCAATATGCTTCTGGAGCTTGCATTTTTCCGGGGCTCGCATATAGGTGAACGCGCTCTCGGAGCAATCTCTGGAACTACACGGCCCCATGCTGAATCGTTACCTGCTTCGGGTATTCAGGCAAGACATTGAACGCGTCCGCGAAATGCAGGAGCGGGGCTTCGTGTTCCAGAATGACGCAAGCACTGCCCCCCCTGCCAGGGAACAATCGGGGGATGCCGATACCGCAGCGCGGCGCAGAAGCGAGAGACCGCTTGCCGCAGCGCTGCGCGCGACCTCTATCGGGCGAGCCCCCCCGCGCCCCCCCCCCCGAGTCGAACGTGATTGCCCGCGATGACACACATGACATGCGCGAGAAAGCATGGGAGCTTCGAAACGGGGAGGCCTATGAGGAGCAGGCATGAACTTGGCAACGAACGAGAGCGCAACCGCAGTCCTCGATGGGAAGAAAGGTTAGACCTCCCAGCGCTCGATCATCCCACGGCTGCCCGCTCAAGCGATCTCAGGAGCCGCGCGAGGAGGGGCGAGGGCCGGCATCTGGATCGATGCGCATGCCCAAACATTCCACGAGGTCCACCACGTTGAACCCCGACCAATCCGCAGGGAGGAGAGGCGCTGAACGCGGAGTTGGGCGAGGGCTTCCGACAGAGTGCCCCGCGAGCATACGCCCATTGCACTTGCTGCTCCTCAGAGCGAGAGAAGCGAGCCGCTCGGCGGAGGAATCGCCGCGCCGACGCCGTCGGCGCACTGGCGAACTGCGACGCGGTCCTTGCCTTCTATCGCCCGGTCGAAATCGCCGACGAACTGTTTCGCGCAGGCCGCGTGCAACGCCCCCGAGGCGGGGCCGCCCATAATAGCGCCAGAACGGATCGGGGCTAAACGGAAGCGACGCCTTCCACTGTAGCACGACAGTTGACCCCCTGGCAGAGCACACCGAGGGCATCGACCGACGGCGATGGTAGACGCAGGGCCCCCGGCATCAAAGACATCCAAGCGCGCGACGCAGACGGGCAAGCTCGGGCAACGTCGAGCGCCACCGACGCAGGGAAATCGACGGGGGCGCTGGGCTACGCGGGGCGCGCGCGCCGCGGGCATTCAGCCCGACGACGTCGGCGCCGAACTGCCCGCCCTGGACGAAGCCTCCTTGGAGACGACGAGCGGGCCCATTCGCGCGAGGGGGCGACCGCGCGCGGCCGCGATGATTTGGATCTCCGTGCTCTTCGAACGGCCTGCGCTCCCCGACGCGCCCTCCTCCGTCGAAGTCGCCGCGCCCCCGCCCCCCCCCCTTTCTCGACGCCCCCGGAGATCGCCGAGCCCCCGCCCGCGAAGCAGGTTCATCATCTCAAAGAGATCACCCAGAGCCCCCGGGGCCCCGCGCCGACACGCGCGCGGGGCGCGGCCTGGGCCGGGGGCGCCGCGCGAAAGTCGGTGCGGAACCAGTTGCCATCAGCTTCGTTATAGCGGCGACGACATCTGGCCGGGGTCCGCGCGCGACGCGAAACGTTCGACGCGCCCCGACGCTGGCCCCGCCGGCGCGATCCTGTCGCGGAGGACGCAGCCCCTGCACTTAGAGATGCTGGCAGACATCGCCCGGCGCCGCCAGAAATACACCACCACCCCGACATGCCGCGCGCGCGGGGGCGACAATCGAAAGGGGCCCAGAACCGAGACCTCTTCTGATGCCGCACAATCTGCAGACGAGAACGTCGTCGGTCGGGGCCCTCAGGGGGCGCTCGAGCTCGCTTCGAAGGGTTCTTGAATTTCTCCAGATGTCCTCGCTCCTCTGGGCGGTCCAGCACTTCCGAAGAAACGGCGGGCCCCCTGAGCCGCGCGCGACACCGCTGGGCGCGACGCCCCACAAATCGCGGGGCGAGCGGGCGGGCGAAAACGAGGCGCTCATCAAATCGAAGGCCGCGTGGCGCCAGACTGCCCTGCCATTTGCTCTGCGAAAAATAACGCGCCCCAGGGGCGTCGAAGCGCCGCGGGCGGCCGCGGCGCATCGGAGGAGGCTGTCGCGAGCGAGCGGGGCGCCCTCCTGCGCGGGGGCATTGAAAATTAGCAGCCTGGAGGGGGGCGATAAGTCCTCGACGTCGCAGGCTTCGGCGCCCCTCTCCATGAACCTCTGGCACGAGTCAGCACTGAAGAGCTATTCGTGGATGTCTCTGGGGCGCGGGGCCATCCGCGGGGCGCTCTTGAGGCCTATCTCGACGGCGTCGTGGCTGGAAAGCTTTCCTCGACCAGCGGTCGCGGCGAGGCCTTGGGCGCGCCCGCGCGTGTCGCGTTGCCGAACGGCCCAGCCTGGGAAAAGCGGCGACTGCACGGTCGACGGCGCTCGCCGACGCCGCGGGCGCGCGCGCGCGAACGGGGCCCCGCTGCCGGGTTCCCGCGGGAAGAGAAGCACGAGCGACACATTGCACCTCGAGACCTGCGCCGCGTCTGGCAACCAGAGCTACGGCCCAGGAAGAGCGAGGGGTCGGGCGAGGACGGCGGCGCAGCGTCGATATTGCAGTCCCCGACGAGCATGGGCGCGCGGCTCCGGGGGGCCGCCCGCGGCCCCCGAGCGCCGCGGCCTCGGCGCGGCGCGCGACGCATCGCGCTTTGTTTTCCGCGGGCAAGACGCCCGGAGGTGCCTGTCTGACTGCGGGGGCCGGGGCGCGCACCCCTCGATGGCGACGAAGACGCTCGAACCTCGGTCAGGAACCGGGTTCCCCGCATCTGCGCCCAGGATTTGGACGCCCGACATGGGTACCGGAAAAATGGGTACTATGCCCAACAGCAAATGTTGTCCCAAACCAACAGCGGCCGCTGTCGGGCGGGCGGCCTCCTGTCTCAAACGAACGCAGGCCGCGGCGGCGCGGACAGCGAGCCCTGCTCAAGATGAACAGGAGCTGCTGTTGGGCATCGTACCCATTCTTTCGGTACCCATTTCGGGCGTCCAGACATCGGGAGCGGCCAAGAGGGGGGTGTCCAAGAGGGGGGGGTGCAAATCATGACCGGCGGCATGTGCGCGGCTCAGCGGGGGGGCCAGGGACGCAAAGAAATAAGAAGAGGCGCCATGAAATCTGGGGAATCTCATGGCCCACGCCATGATATCCCCCCCCCCCCCTAGTCATCACCCCCCTCTTTGCCGCCCCCGAAGACAGGAGGATCCCCGCGACGCCGGGCTCGGGGGGCGTCGCGAGGGCGCCGCCTGCGGCGTTCGAGGTGGGCCCGGCGCGGCAGGGGCGAAGTGTGCTATGGGGCTGGGGCGCGCCCGCCGCCTCCTCCTCGCAACCGCGGGCGCCCTGCGCGGCACTTGTGCAGCTGGAGGGCGTGGGGGGGGGGGGAAGGCTCTCGCCCCCCGCCCCCCCCCCGATCTGGCAGGATAGCGACGCGGGGGGGAGCAGAGAGGGATATATATATATATATATGTATATATACGTGTATATATATAGAGAGAGAGGGCGAGAGAGAGAGAGAAAAAAAAAACTGTAAAGAGAGAGAGAGAGAGAGAGAGAGAAAAAAAAAAAAAAAAAAAAGAGAGAGAGAGAGAAGAGAGAGAGAGAGAGCGAGAGAGAGAGAGAGAGAAAAGAGAGAGGAGAGAGAAAGAGAGAGAGAGAGGGAGGAGAGAGAGAGAGAGAGGAGGAGAGAGAGAGAGAGAGAGAAAGAGAGAGAGAGAGGGAGGGAGGGAGAGAAAGAGAGCGAGAGACAAAGAGAGAGAGAGAGAGAGAGAGAAAAAAAAAACTAAGGGAGAGAGAGAGAGAGAGTAAGAGGGAGAGAGAGAGACAGGGAGAGAGAGGGAGAGAGGGGGAAGAAAGAGAGAGGGAGAGAGAACAAAAGAGAGAGAGAGAGAGCGAGAAAGGGATGATAAAAAAGAGCGAACACACAACAACGAGAGAGAGAGAGAGAACAAAGAGAGAGAGAGAGAGAGAGCGAGAGAGGAGGAGAGAGAGAGAGAGAGAAGAGAGAGAGAGGGAGAAAAGAGAGAGAGAGAGAGTGAGAGGGAGAGAGAGAGAGAGGACAAGCAAAAAGAAACAAAGAAACAAAATGCGCTCGAGCCTGCGAAGAGGAAGAGGAATCCATAGGGAGAGAAGGAAAACAAAGAAGAGAGAGAGAGAGAGAGAACCGAAAAACAAGGCCAACCATAAGCCACACAAAGAAAGAGAGAGAGAGAAACAAAAAAAAAAGCGAGAGAGCAAAGAGAGGGGAAAACAAGAGAGAGAGAGAGATAAACGAACAGCAAACACATAAGGAGAGATAAAGATATATACATATAGAGAGAGGACAAAAACAACAACAAATAAAATAAATAAAGAAAGGAAGCAAAGAGAGAGAGAGAGAGGGGAGAGAGAGAGAGAGAGAAAGAGAGAGAAAGGAGAGAGAGAGAGGGAGAGAGAGAGAGAGAGAGAGAGAAAAAAAAAAAGAGAGAGAGAGAGAGAGAGAACGAGAACGAGAGAGAAAGAAAGACATAAAGAAAGCGCCGCGGGTTGCACATGCACCCGCCCGCGGCCTCAGGAACGGGTTTTGAAAAAAAACGCTCACTAGCGTCCCCAGCCTGTTTGGAGAGACTGGAAATGCGATCCTCGATCGCGGCCTTGTCGGTGGTCTGGCCGGTGCAACTGGGGAAGTTCTACTCGATCCCGGGGGGGGGGGGGCGGGGGGCGCCGTCCTGCGCCGGAGTGGAGCCATTTCTTCCATCAGTGAGAATTTTCGTTTTCTCCGCGGCCCCTATGAATGAAGAAGCGTTTCCCATGAAGTATGGCCCCGAACTCCCGGCGGATGAGCTTGATAATCAGTTATCTGTGAATGTGAAATTGATTTCTGTCAGCACTAAATAAGAAGAGCGGTCTCGCGTTGCCCATCGGTGTGCGCGCCTCGAATTTACGCCGCGCGCCGTCACTGTTGCGGAAAGCGCCCAGCGAGCGCGTGTTGCGCAAGCCTTAGCACCCAGCGCTTGGCGAGCAGCGCACGCTGCTGCGCAATCCTGGACTCGCTGCTTGGAGGTCGGTTCCGTGCCGGCCGCCGAGATCTCGTAATCATCCACGTCCGAGCTGGCGTCCTGAATCCAAGGGGTGACCACATGGCGAACTTCATCAATTGAAACGAGAACCTTTGCTGGGTCGGTGGGACGGTCGGACCCTGATGGGGCAGCCTCCTTAGGCAGCTCCTCAGCCTTGGCGATGCACATGTGCTCCATGAGCTCCTTGAGGTGGCTATACGGCACGTGGAGACGGTTGGCGTGGTCGTCGAGCCGCATTCCGGACCTCCGCATGTGCAGTTCGACCTGTTTGTCCACACCCTGGGCGTGGATCTGGACTGTCTTGGACAGGGCGGCGACGCTCGATTGATTAGAGGCGATGGCACCCAGTGCCTCGACTCGTGTCTTGTCCACATGGACACTTGATGGCGACCGTCTCATTCTCGTTGTCGGTATCACGAGCGCAACGGGGAGAGCCAGCACCACCAACGCCAGCCGAAACACGCGCGGAGGCACCCATGTCCAAGCCTTGGCCTTCGAGTTCGCCAGAGGAAACGAACTGTTCGTCATCATCAGTTGTTGCCTCACGACGCCTCGAACCCGGGGCGCTGTGCGGGAGCCTGCTCGGAGGTGCATCCCCCGCTTGTCCCATTCGTACATCTGCCTTCTGTCGCTCGCACAGGGAGCTGTGGGAGCACCCCGGGCCACGCTGGTAGCCAACAGACTGGAGGCGACGATAGAAAAAAGACTGCGGTGTCCGCCACCGCTCGACACACCGGAAGACTTCGGAAGAGAGCTGTCCGCTCAAAAATGGACCTGGTCCCACCTCGAGCCAACATTGCAATGGGGCTCCAGCTGCTCTTCTTCCTCCTCCTCCATCTTCATGCGTCTCCCCGTCTTCCTCCTGCTCATCTGCCACCTGCTCCTGCAACATACACAACTCCCGTTTCTGATTGCGCATCACACGACGGGGTCACTTGGTGGATCCAGGTCAGCTAGGACACTAGCTGGAGAATAGAGAAAACATCAACGCAACGGGGAGGATGGGTGGGAGGGGAAACTAGGATGTCCGATGTGGCACGAGCGCGCCTAGATTGTCTTCTCCTTTCTCATCGCTCCTCTCTCCTCCTCTCCTCTGCCTCCTCCACGTACCAGCAACCAAGCAGCATCTTCTTCAGCCAGGCCTAAAGATGCTTTGAAAGGCGAGGTCGTCGTTGTCACCCAAGGATTCGGGCAAACTCGACGTTTCCGCCGCACCTTTGCAAGTTTCTCCGTGATGGATGATTGTAAAGGCGGTCGTCGCCGTAACCTAGGGATTCGGGCAAGCTAGACGTCTCTACCGCATCGCACCTTCAGAAGGACCACCTCACGCAACGCAGGTCTGGAGTCAAATGCCCTCCCCCCTTCCCCTCAAGCGGGCCAGCGCGATTTACATATTGGGCTGGGCTGCAAATCGCAATCGCAATCGCAATCGCACATGCTGGCCCAAGCCGTTCTGGACCGAAAGACGCCCCTCTCCCCACCGTGAGCTCTGCACGTTTCTCCGCGATGGCCACGTCTTGGTGCTCATCGTGCCTTCCTGCTCCACTCACCTCTCTTGCGGCTCTCCAGGGCGACACGGGGGTTGAGTGAGAGAGGGGGGCGAAGGGGGGGGGGAAGGAGAAAGGCGGGAGGAGGGCGAGAGGGGGGGAGAAGAGTGAGAGAGGGGGGAAGTGTTGGTGCATCCTTTGCCTCCGCTCCCGCTCCGCAGGACCCCCTGCCAAGCCGCCCCCCCGCCCGGCCCTAGAAGGGGGAACGGCCCGCCTCGTTTCGGCAAACGGGGCACATCCGCAAGTTCTTGCGGTCCTGGCACGGTTGTGGTATGTCCCTGCCTCTGTCTCTGTCTATGGCTCTGTCCATTTGTATTCGTGTCTCTCTCTCTCTCTGTCGTTATTGCTCCCTGTCTCGCTCTCGTTATATTGTGTTTGTTCTCTCTTTCTCTCTCTCTCTCTCTCTCTCTCTCTCTCTCTATATATACATACATGTACACATACATGCGTGCATGCAAGCATACAAACATACATACATACATACATACATACATACATACATACATGCATACATACACGCATACATACACACATGCATACAGACATGCATACATACATATATACAATTCGAACATCTGCGAAATATGCATATGTGTATATATAGGTATAGCAAACAACGCGAGTCCCGTACAGTATGTATATAGCCATGTACGGTGTACAATATATGTGGTGCAACCTACGTCGTGCAACATATGTGGTGCACTCTACGTGGTGCAATATGTGTGACGCAATCTATGTTGTGCACTCTATGTGATGCGATTCGCCTGTCACCAATGAGGTGACATACCCGCAAAATCACAAATCTCCCACTCTCCTGAAAATAACCCACCCAGATATTTTTCTGCAAAGCCAATGCGGCGGCGATGGCGATGACTGCTTGGCGCTGGCTGGCGCGTCTTTGTGGCCGCGTTGGCGCGCGCATGCTCGTGCGCAGAGCGGCCATCCAGGCGCGACCGACGCGACCGCGGTGGCGCTCACCGCTGGACAGTCCCCAGCGCGTCTCGCAGGCCGCGCTGGCGCGCGGGAGCTTCAGTGCGAGTCGGTGGCTCGGGCGGGCGCGGTGCCATGGTGCCGTCGACAACGGTAGACACGATGATGATAGTAACGATGCTGGTGACGGTGATGACGATGACGACGACAAGGCCAATGATGGCGCCGATAATGATTACGCCGCTGACGGTTATGGTGTCCACGCGTGGATAGTGAAGGCTTCGGGAGGATTTCGTCATGCGCGCGCGGCCGACGGGCGCGAGCGGCCCGGATGCCATCATGTGACAGAGATCGTGCCCACCCGTCCCAGCAAACGCGCAACAAGCGTTGGGATGATTTCGACATGCGCGCGCGAGGGGCTCGCTGTTTCCGTAAGAATTCGCAAAAGCGCGTGCAGTAGTTGTTCTTTGTTGTTTGTAAGTTATGTTGCAACATAATCGTTTTGCATGGTTGTGGGAACCTTTAACTTGCGACACTTACGAAAGCTAGCGTTGTTGAATCATTTCGGCATGTGCGCGCGACGGCGCGCGCGTGCCAACTGTTCCCTGTGTTCAGCAGGGGATGTTTGACAACTTTGAATTGCGGTAAACGTGAGCGCGCGTAGTATCAATGGCAGAGATGAAGGGGGGGGCGATACCAGCTGGGCTGGGATGGTATGACTTCACCTTAAAAATGAAAGATGGGGCGCAGAAGCAATGGTAAATTGCCGTACCCCACGGGCGGATAATCATGAGGGGGGCGTAGAGTCTGTATTTCCTAGAAAGGAGAGTGCACGTGATGCAGTATGTCGTGTGCTACCCATGTGATGCGCAAAACGTAGGGCCACTTAGGTGTTGCAACGCATGTGGTGCAATGTCTGTTGTGCAATGTATGCTGTGCAATCTGTGTTGTGCGAGATGCGTTGTGCAACCTGGGTTGATCACTTTACGCTTTGCAATATATATATATATATATATATATATGTGTGTGTGGTCAAATGTATGATGTGCAACACATGTGGAACCATATACGTGGTGAAATATATGTGGTACAGCCCACGTTTGCAGTCTGTCGTGCGCAAATACACACATGCATCGCGTGCGATGTGCGTGCTGCAATCTATCTCGTGCGAGACGCGGATCCGTCTGTGTGGAGCAACCGACGACTGCAATCGATTGGGTTGCAATCGATTGGAGCGCAACCGATCAATTGGACCGCCGTCGACTGGCTTGCAACGGGAAGGGGGTGCAAACGGGACGGCGGCCACGGGCGGCGCCGAAGCGGCGACGGGGCGGCGACGCCGGCAACGAAAAGACGGCGGATGCGACAAATGAGCCCAGACGGCGGGCGGCGACGAGGCGGCGACAGGGCGGCTGCGGCGGCAACGGGGCGGCTGACCCGCCCAACGACCCCACTTCTTTCGAATGCAGCGACGGACCCCCAAATGCAAGTACTGTCTTGGGAACCTGTACTATTTATATACATGTATGTACATATATATATATATATATATCGGCGCCCGCCCGCCTTCCGCAAGCTTCCGCCCGGAGAGCCGCGCCCGCTGTGCTTGCGCCGCCCTCCGCCGATGAGAGGATGGCAGCTCCGAGGACGATGGCTCGTCTGGAGCGCCCCATCTCAAGGTTCTTCCATTACATCTACAGTTCTTTCTCCCAGGGGGCTGGCACGCAAGCCTGCTAAAACGCTCTCGCCCCGACTCAGAGCGCAAGGGTGCCGAACATCTCTCTCTCTCTCTCTTGTTCTGTCAGCCTCTCTCTCCCTCTCTGCCATTCTCTCTCCATAGAGATTCGCATGTCATTCCTTGTCTTTCTATAGCATGTATATAAGCATGGCTCTCTCACTATATATATATATACACACTAACTACTAGAACCATCGCGCGCGCGCTTCGCAAGCGCACAAGCTCTAGCTAGGCTTGATGGGCGAACGCATGGGATCTCATTCCTTGTCGCTTCTTGCATCCAAGGACTCTCTTGGAGGCTCTGCGCAAGCCTCGGAATCGCATAGACGGGGAACTGCGGAAACGCCGAAATCATTAATTGTCGTTCGGTATTCAACGATTTGGGGCCCTCGATGGCTTCCTGGGTTCTTTTCTGGGGCCTTCACTGTGGTCTGTTGTGCAAGAGCAGACAAGGGGGGGCGAACTTGGGAAAAAACGGAATGGTGGGATGTTCTTTCTTTTCAAGTTGTAGTGCCTGGGCTGTAGGTTAGACGTTTTCTGCATGCAGGCCACGGTCTGTTGGGATGCCTCTCGGGGTCTTCGTGCAAAAATAAGCGAGAAGTTTAAGCAAATGATTTTTGAAATTCCACTGCTTCAACTCATGGGATCATGGGATCTCGGTTTCTACAATGGTTCCAGGGGCAGCCAAGAGGACACGAAGAGGATCCAAGAGAGTGCCAAAACAGCGTTCGAGAGTCCAACAGCACTCCCGAAACATTTTTGCATGTGACCCGAAGTCTTGATGGGGCTCGAGGAAGAAGATGGGGAGTAGGAGTCCCAACTTGAAAAAAAAAAGAATATCTGGAATTCCCTTTTTCAAAATTCCTCGGTCTTGGAGCGTTGAAGCGGGAAAACGTGAAAGGCGAAACAAGTCGATTAAAACCACTGGAAAGCAACGATTTACCCTCTTCGAGCTCTCTCGGGACGGCTCTCGGAGCTCTCTTGGGCTGTTTGGGGGGCCTCGTCGGGGATTTTTTCGGAGCCTCTCAAGGGTCTGGGGTGTGTTGGAGGCCTCTGGGGCTCTCAGAGGTCTCTGGAAGCCTCCTGCTCCCGCTCTTGGGATCATCTTGGGCCTGTTCTGGGGTGGTCTGGAGCTGTCCTGAGCGCCTCTTCGGCAGTCTTGGGGCCGTCTTGGCCCGTCTTGGGGCCGTCTTGGGGGCCTCTTGGGCGGTCCCGGGGTGGTCTTGGGGGCCCCTTCGGCCGTCTTGGAGCGCTGGAAGCATGAAATGGTGAGAAGGCCAAAAAACCTTGAACAAAAACCATGAACATTAACGATTTTAGGTTCTCTGGGCGCTCTCGGGAGGCCTCTCGGAGCCCCCCAGGGGTCTTTCGGGGGCCTCCTGGGAGCCTGGAGAGCCGCCCGAAAGCTATCCCGGGTTGCTTAGGAGGTTCTTGGGCCTTTGACGTTCTGTGGGCTTCTTGGGGTCGTCTTGGGCTGTCCTTGGGCGTTTTGGGGGCTCCCCAAGAGGTCGGGAAGCTCGGCACCGCGAGCGTTCCGCAGATGTTCCGGGAAAGTGTGGGACACCCCGGAGGA